AGCTCCTTCAAATTTTAATCACAGGTGCTTCGATTTTTTCTTCCTTACTTTCTGTTTTGCTGCTTATACAACAAATCTCCGAGGATGAAAATGAACTCAAACTAAATTTTAATACTTTCGTCTTTCTTCTCCTACTACTGTATGATTGCTTCGGATTGGTATTTGAATTCTCTGCTTTTGTGTAAAAGTGGAGTAATTGACGAAAATGAATTAGAAGTCACTCTTGTTGTTTGGACATAGGATCAGCGCATTTGTTTGCGATGGGGAGATGCAACTCATAAATGGATTCGACCGGGAACTTTACTCACTTGCGGACGCGGGAACTACAAAACACCTCCCATTAACAACATTCCATTTCACCTCAATGTTTCTCTTCTCAAGGTATGCAAACTATAAGAAGAAGCTTTAAGTCAGTAGCAACCAACCCATTTGAAACTGAACTTGAGATTATACTTTATTAAATCAGGAGAATCCGGGTACAAAGGCAGTGGGTGATAAAGGAAGCGATCAAAGCGGCTAGAACCGAGGTGGGTCTTACCAACCGGTTCCCTTTGGAGACTCCAGCCACTCCAGAACGGCTTGTTTTGACGAGCTCCGTATGCAAGCTCAGATTTCTGCCCTAAGCTTAGTGTTTTAGCTTTTTAACTCCACCAAGGGAGTAGAAGATATCTTCCATATGAATTAAACTCTGAATTTTGATTTGTCTGTGCCTTGGGCTTTGGACTTTGGCCTAAAACATGGTTTAATCTATTGTACTTGTATTTCTTCATCCTCCGTTTCCATTTTATGAAGTATTTGTTCAGTGACTAATTCATCTTATGATCCAATTTTTCAACATGAGTTATGGCAGTGTTAATAATTTGCAACTCAAGATAAGTTGAGAAGAAGGATAAATAGAAAGGAAAGAAATCTTGGTTCCAAATTTCCAATGATGAGAAGGCATTTAGAAAAGATACTCTGTTTTCCCACTTGACTTGCGTCGTACGTAACCCCTCTGTTTCCTTAACCGGCCATTGCACCAAAAATACATTAATCACGTAATTAAACATACCTAGGCTGTAATATAAGTCATATAAAAGTTTC